TCGTTTGCATAACAAAAAATGGCTCGTCATTAATGTATTCCGAACGATCGAACAGTTGTAAATAAAAGAATTTTCATTCAAACAGCATTGAATACATTGGGGATCATTCGTAGCTTACACTATAAAAAACCAAGTATATTATGTCGTTTTAACTGAAGTATTCATTTGATACACGAGGCATGAATATTTCTTGCCGTTTTTTGATCCATCTCCTCCATAGACGATTATGAAGTACTCAAAGGCACAAAAGAAAAACATCCGAACGAAATATATCGCCAATAAGTGAATATTAAAATTGCAACAGTACATATTTGTATAATGAACAATCTAAAAAGAGTACCTACAGAATATTTTATTGAACAATACTACGTTAGTGTACAACCTTAATTTTAACCTTCCGTCGGTTAACTTCAAGAGCAAGTTTTAAATTTTAATTGCTAAGTATTGTACTTTACGTATCTCTAATAATTTATAGTTATTATTTACAATTTTATTTGTTTGGGGACTCGGGACAAGACTTGCCAATAACTGTAAGAAGCAACATTTAAATTACATAATAAAATATCAATAAATACAATATCGATATGGAAAATAAATAAAATATACTTATAAAAAAACAACTATTCTCACTAACCGCTATGGTATTAATAAAGTAATTAAATTTATATCAAAAGAGAATTTATGTTTTAAAAGCTTCAGATTCAACGAGAACCTTAGACAAAGTACAAACTATGTTATTAATAGCAAAGCATTAGCGTTTGTCCATTTCGCAACTATGTATAGAGAAATATGTTGAGCGTAAAGCCGACGGCAGCCATGTCCAGTAAGCATGAAATGAATAGAGCCGTGTAACTGCGAGAGCGTTATAATTCGTCTAAGAGCAAATATAATAAAATTGTTAGCATTTAACACTGGCGACTGACGGGCGCCAATTGGTCTTTTTCAGCTTTCAATTCAGAAATTTGCTTTAGCGACTACGGTGCCCACACCACCGAAAACAATCAAGTTCATATTATGTGACACATAACAAAGAGAATTCTATCGTCAATCGTCAACGGCAACTGTTGTTAGTTCAGACGATATTATTCATAACACATGTTATGATCAAGTCACGACAATTAAATCGATATATCATGTGACAATTATTTAGGGGTCGGCCTGGCTTAGTGGGTAGAAACGTACGTTTCGGTGCAATTGAAGTAGGGTTCGATCCCCAGGATNCTTAGTTCAGACGATATTATTCATAACACATGTTATGATCAAGTCACGACAATTATTTAGGGGTCGGCCTGGCTTAGTGGGTAGAAACGTACGTTTCGGTGCAATTGAAGTAGGGTTCGATCCCCAGGATGCCAACGAGAATTTTCTTTTGATTTTCTCATTGTCTGGTGTAAGACCCGTCCCGTCCATCATTGGCCTAGCCAAAATCCACCTTTGACTCCCTAACACGAGCAGGAGGGCCACCATCCTCTGTACCATGTTAAGCTTGGAAAACAGATAATTATTTTTATCATATGACAATAATTCCCAATAATACCGCAGTACTCGAGAATACGTAACAGTCAAGTATTTTTTTTTTTAATTTCACAGTTACCACTTCGTCACTAACGATCCAAGAAAAAACTTAAAACGTGTTTCGTTTTCAGCATAATAAATATAAACGTTTGCAATTACGATAAAACGTACAAAACTGAGTTGAATACTAAACTACGATGAACTACCTCTTTCGCCTACAACCACATATTTATTACTATTTTGTTAAAAAACATAATAGTACTACCGATACTCATTGGTGGACCTTAAAATCGTGTATACAGGATATTTCTCAGAACGGGTTTAAGCAGAAGGCAGATTAAGATACTAATTTTGTTAAAAAAAAAAAAGAAGAAGTTTGACTTCGAAAAATGGTTAAATTTATAATTTACAATACAAACGTATTAATTAGTGATTTAGGGCATTTTCGAATATTTTAAACTATCGAATAGTATTCGATAGTTTTATAANAAGAAGAAGTTTGACTTCGAAAAATGGTTAAATTTATATTTTACAATACAAACGTATTAATTAGTGATTTAGGGCATTTTCGAATATTTTAAACTATCGAATAGTATTCGATAGTTTTATAAAACTATTGAATACTATTCGAATTGTTTTTATACAACCGAATAGTGTGTTTTTAGCATAAACTATCGAATAGTTTTTATAAATATTCGAATAAACTATTGAATAGTTTTTAAAACTATTCGAATGGGCTAGCGAATGGTTTCAAAAAATATTCGATTAGTTCTAACTAAAATTTTTATTAAGTACACTTAATTATAATAAGAAGATAATTAACGAATACTTAAAATAAATTATTATACAATTAATAACAGTAAAATGTACCATTTTATTTATTTTTAGTTTGTGAGTCGTTGGTAAAAACTGATAAATATGGGTTGAAAATTAAAAAGCAGTTCTTTTTTCCGATGACTAATGATATATTTTCAGTTTTATCGGAAAGGTTTGTTCTATGCGCACAGAAGTATTCGTAAATACTAAAGTCTCATTTTACACTTAATACCTTGTATACTGTTCTTAGTCTAGCATTACCTGCTCTTTTGTCATATAAAGGCATAACACCGATAAAGAGGACAGCGCGTTTTAAATTTTTACGTTTGTAAAAGTGGCGACAACAATAAATACTGCTCCTGTTTAAAAATTATATGAACTATTTTCATTAGTCGGTTAATCATTGAACACTTAGCGTAACAATATATAGAATATAAATAATAGTAAAATTAAAATAGATTTTAATATTTTCTTCTAAAATTATATTCACAAAAATTTTCTAAAATTATTTTTACTTGCTCAAAAAAATAAAATAAAAAAATAATTTGCTAAAATTCATTTTTTTAATATAAATCATTCTTATTCTCAAAATAATCATTTTACAACAAAATGTTTCGTAAAAAAAAATATGTCAAATTAAATTTTTTAAAACATTGGTCTTATGTAAAATTACAGTCAGATTTATAGTTTTGCTGCTTTAATAACACTAACGACTAAATAAGATTGTTTAAAACTGTTTTATTCAGGGTACTACGATTATAAATAGGATACAATTAATAATAAAAAAAATTAGTGATGGGCATTTTCAAATATTTTAAAAACTATTCGAATGGAGGTACCGAATAGTTTATTAATGTTTATTAAGTTCTTGTTATGCAGTTTCAATAAAGAAAAAGAACTCGGAGGCAATAAAAAATACATTTTGAAATTTACATCTTTTAGCGACTTCCTGTTCTACTGAAACACAAACATAAAATAAAATAAGTAACTTTTTTACGTTAACTGAATTTTATAACTTTTATTAAATCAATAACTTCGAAATTCAAACATTTATATTATCTATAAATGAGCTTTTTATTTAATGTAGAAAATGCTAAAATGTTTAAATAAATATATTTTTGCCACAAATATAGTACTGAAAATAGTTATAAAATTACAAACGTTTACACCCATATTATTCTGCGATAGTAGTAAAACAGTTTAAACAGACAATTATTGTCATTATCATAATAAAAATAAAATTGGTACATTTAGTTAAAAATCAAAACATTCTGCGTTATGGATTTATGAAAGTTCTCTTTAACATCATATATACTCTAGACTGATAATATACAAGATTTAATTATTTTAGGAATAACTAGTTCATTTAATACTACATTGAATAGTACTTATAATACTTTATAAAGTACAAATAAAAACATCATTATTGTTATTATATAAATATAAAAAAAAAATCAAGAATTTCTCAAAAAAAAATGTTTAATGGTTTTAGTTAAAAATGTATAAAAGTATAGCCTCTACTTAATTAGAAAAAGCAACTTTCATTAAATCTTTAACGTTTTATTTTTTAACTTATTAAAATAAAGGAATTTTTCACTATAATACTATCTAAATATCACGCATACAATCTGTTACTAATAAAAAATAAATTTTATTTCAAATTTAAATAACAATAATTATATTTAACAATAAAATAATAAATGTATATTCATATTTTGTAATAATATGGTAGAAAAACGTGTAAAGATTGAATTTTTATTTAAACTTATGAAAATAACTAGCATAATAACTTCACCTAGAATTTAAAATGCATACAATGTTTCAATGAAATATTTATTGCTACAGGAATTATTAACTAAGAAAAATGAAAATATCTTTTAAAGCATTAAATTTAACATTATTACTAACAAAGAGTACCTGAAAACTAAATATTTTTTTTATAAATATTATTAATTTTAATATCTTTAAATTTTCTGAAATGTATTTTAAAATAAATATTACATTAACGATTCTTCATACTAAATTCATTTTATACTTAGATATAATGTTACTTTAAAATCCTAATATTATTTGGATTATAATTTCAATTTTATTTATGCTAAGTAAAATTTAGTTCGTTAAAGATCAATCATAAAGTTATACACAACTGTTGTCTTTCACTTAATTAATAATAACAAATTAATTATAAAAATTATTTAATTTTTACATGCAACCCTATGATAATTACTTCACTTATGAAGTTGTCTGGTACGATGGTATATAAAAAAAAAAATTCGTAACATAAAAACTAAATTTATCCCAAGAATTACTTATATAAATTTAGAAAAAACATAAATTTTAAGATCATTTCGATTAAATAAACATTATTTTATGTCCAAAAAAGTATAAATGACAATAACTAATCATTTTTGTTATGGTTATTCAGTAAATATTTGTTTACTAATAAATATGTTGTTTAAAGAAAAAAGTTCATTGAACTGCTAAAAGTTCCGTTCGTAAAAAAATATACAAATAACAACCTTAGTTGCTACATGGTAACACTATGTGCTTAAATTAACAGACAGTGTTTAAATATTAGATAAATAATTGAAAATTACCAGGATAATAAAGTGCTTCACTAAACTCATGAAATTGTTTTAATAGTATATATATATATTGGCAAAACTTACCTCTTAATAAGAACCTTATTGGCCAAATTCTTGAAGTTTTGATGAGGTTTAGCTTGCGTTACGATCGGTCGTGTTATGATGACACCGGTTAAGTTTGTGGGGCGCCGTAATGCGGTTACTTATATACCAAAACGATGAGCTTTGGGGACGGCCAAAACATGCAGCGGTCCTGCGTGTCAGCCCTACCTACACCACCCACATTAAAAACATCAAACAAGCAACAGGCACATACTATTCTAGATTTTAAAGAATTTAATTTTGACGGTGAATTCGTCAAATTTTTATGTATATTTTAATAAAGTAAACTATAAAATAATGTTTGTGACTTTTCCTAAATATTGTATGAATTTTAAGCCTCCACAATCATAAATAAATTAGAAATTTTTAATATTATTTAAAATACACATATATTTATCCAGATCATATATTTTTAATATTTTGAATTAAAAAATTTATCAACAAAGTATTTTACAGTAAAAAGTCTCTTTTCTTTATATAACTCCTTAATTATTTTAATTCATTATACATTACGAAATTAATACAATCAGAAATCATTACTAAATGACAATTATAGATAAAATTATCTATAAAACATCAATATTTGCAGGTACACAGTATTGTTATTATCAATGATAGTAAGGCACATTGTTGTGAGTTTATAAATACACTAACTGACAATATAAAAAGTATAACAATTGATAGTCATAATTGATAATAAACAATCCGTGACTGTGACAGCAATGTCATAAAAAACCAATTAGCTACCTGTATTTGTAATACCTTGTGTACTATATATGTATATTAACTCAAAAATTTGAAACTTTAATTGTTTATATCCAATAAACGAATAAAGTTATATTAAAAATTCAAATACCATTTACTACTAAATTAAAAACTCAAATGTTTTATTAAATTCAAAAAATGTGTTTCCATTTAAAAAAACAAAGTTGATACCCTTACAAAGCATAAGGGATGAACTTAAAAAGTATTACATAGTTTTAATAATTCAAGAATAATGTGTAATTAAAGATAACCAAAAAAAAAAAAAAAAAGTTTAAATTATATTTATTCTGCAATTGAGTGTGTTATGATAAAAAAATCACCCTGTATATAGTTATATAAATTATCAAAAACAAAAAATATTTGTATTAATCACAATTATAAAGTTAAATCAAGTTGTTTTAAAAGTAATGAGAGTAACAAAGGTAAAACATTTGAGTTTGATAATGGATTGTACGAGATATGAAAGATGGAATTTTCATGTTCCTTATTTCCAAATGCGTTTAAGAACAATTATTTATATTTCTTATAGTTTAAACACAATTATTCCTAAAATCACTGTGTATCTTAAATTAAAGCTTATGCAATATTCTTTAATATGAAAAAAAAAATCGAACTTTATTTTGTTTTCATGGTGAAAACAAACATCAAAGTTATTAAAAAAAATACGTTTTTTTTTTAAATCACAATATTAAATATTAAATTATTAAATATCAATTTCATAGTATATTTTATTGCTATAATAAATATTTATTCATACATTACACTTATAAATAATAAAACATCTAATCAGAATATAAATCAGGAAATATAGGAGATATTAGAATAATTTACCAATTTTTTTTAATTAAACATCTACAGATTAGCATCGAAGCTTTTTTTATGATAGTGATTTTAATCACTGTCTGATATCATCTATACTGGACCCAACTATGCTACGTACCCACTGTGCTGGATTTTTTTTTCTTGATTTGCAAAAATCAAGTAGATATGATAATTGAATTAAAAATGTCAGAGTTTTGTTAACTTCAAATGCTTATAGTAAATAAAAAAATAAAACAAATTATTATCCATGACTACGTGTCTAATTATATTGACTTCAATAAAGAACATCAAGTAGATTGATCTTGTGTCTTGCCTAAAATATGTAATGATTTTAATCCAGAAAAAAACGTTGGTGCGACAACATAATACAGATACAATTATTTACTATAGGTAACACATAATGGGCAGCATAAATAACCTTTGCTATCCCTGATTTATTAAATTGATCGGTTTTTATTGTAACCAACCCAGTTACCTTAATTGAATAAACTACTAGATAAAATTTTCAAACTGAGTTTACAAGATAGATTTTTAATACACTTAGCAAATCATTATATAAATTCCATAAAATTTGGTCCGCGTAGCAAAAGTTGTGCCCGGTACAAATTTTTGATGCCTCCTCGAAATGAACCCCAGCGCACGCCTATAGGTATGCATTAGAATTCACCGTAGTTTTAATATCAATAAATTGAATTGACGACATAGGACACAGTAAACAAACGTTTGTATAAACGGATGTACAATACATCCGCCATTATAATGTGTACAGTGAATTCATTTTGAAATATTAGCATTATTAGTTAAGAAAATTAATTGTTTTAACTACTAAAAATAAAAGACATAAGCGATGAAATGTTGGAGTAATATTTTTCATGTTAACATTTTACATAGCAATAAGATGCAAGTTAAATAGAAATAAATTGGTCGGTATTTATTCTTAATACTAATGTCATAATAAAATGTGCATTAGTAAATAATAGTTAGACGTTTAAACTTATTAGAGAGAAAGCTCTTAAAAAACGTTTAAAAAAAATAACAATATTTAGCAAGTCTTGCTACAAGACAAAGCCCAAGGAATAAACAATTAAATTAAAAATATAATTTAGTCACTAAAAAATTCTATTCGTTCGATGTTCTAGAATAGTTATCGTTGTTAAATTTATATCGTAACTGATTCCATTACAACAGAGTCTATTAACTAAAATAGGTGTTTTTTTAAAATATACTAGTTTATCACTGGACACATTTTCATTATAATAAAAATAATTTTCNACAATAAATCCGCCATCAAATGTGTACAGTGAATTCATTTTGAAATATTAGTCTTATTAGTCAAGAAAATTAATTGTTTTAACTACTAAAAATAAAAGACATAAGCGATGAAATGTTGGAGTAACATTTTTCATGTTAACATTTTACACAGCAATAAGATGCAAGTTAAATAGAAATAAATTGGTCGGTATTTATTCTTAATACTAATGTCATAATAAAATGTGCATTAGTAAATAATAGTTAGACGTTTAAACTTATTAGAGAGAAAGCTCTTAAAAAACGTTTAAAAAAAATAACAATATTTAGCAAGTCTTGCTACAAGACAAAGCCCAAGGAATAAACAATTAAATTAAAAATATAATTTAGTCACTAAAAAATTCTATTCGTTCGATGTTCTAGAATAGTTATCGTTGTTAAATTTATATCGTAACTGATTCCATTACAACAGAGTCTATTAACTAAAATAGGTGTTTTTTTAAAATATACTAGTTTATCACTGGACACATTTTCATTATAATAAAAATAATTTTCTTAAATTATAACCACGTGTGAGATTTGGCAATCAGGACAAAAAATTTTCTGCACCAATGGAAAACATTTAAAACAAAATGTTCAACTACTAAATAATAGTTGGTACATCATAATTATTATCGATAAAATTGTCATATTGTAATGATTATTCATAGTAAATTATTATTCATATAAGGTGTTCAAATTAAATGACTTTTCAATGGAAAATTTTAAAGCTCGTACAATGCGACACATCTTTCTGAATATGTTGGCAAAGTACACCCGCTTTCCTTAAATTTTCAAAATTATAGCGCGTACTAGCGACATAACTGTCTCGNCCACTAAAAAATTCTATTCGTTCGATGTTCTAGAATAGTTATCGCTGTTAAATTTATATCGTAACTGATTCCATTACAACAGTCTATTAACTAAAATAGGTGTTTTTTTAAAATATACTAGTTTATCACTGGACACATTTTCATTATAATAAAAATAATTTTCTTAAATTATAACCACGTGTGAGATTTGGCAATCAGGACAAAAAATTTTCTGCACCAATGGAAAACATTTAAAACAAAATGTTCAACTACTAAATAATAGTTGGTACATCATAATTATTATCGATAAAATTGTCATATTGTAATGATTATTCATAGTAAATTATTATTCATATAAGGTGTTCAAATTAAATGACTTTTCAATGGAAAATTTTAAAGCTCGTACAATGCGACACATCTTTCTGAATATGTTGGCAAAGTACACCCGCTTTCCTTAAATTTTCAAAATTATAGCGCGTACTAGCGACATAACTGTCTCGATATATCTAGCTACGTACTGCCCGCCATTTTCTGATAACTTTAAGTCATGATTCATAATGAGAAGTGTACGTGTTATACGCTTCTAATGTATTATTAAAACACAACTCAATAAATCATAATGATATTTTTCAAGAAGTTATTTAAATATTTAGTTCATAGTACCAATTTTACTTGATCAAGCATTTATTACATGCTAAATCAATTAGTGCACATNTAATCAGGACAAAAAATTATGTGCACCAATGGAATACATTTAAAACAAAATGTTCAACTACTAAATAATAGTTGGTACATCATAATTATTATCAATAAAATTGTCATATTGTAATGATTATTCATAGTAAATTATTATTCATATAAGGTGTTCAAATTAAATGACTTTTCAATGGAAAATTTTAAAGCTCGTACAATGCGACACATCTTTCTGAATATGTTGGCAAAGTACACCCGCTTTCCTTAAATTTTCAAAATTATAGCGCGTACTAGCGACATAACTGTCTCGATATATCTAGCTACGTACTGCCCGCCATTTTCTGATAACTTTAAGTCATGATTCATAATGAGAAGTGTACGTGTTATACGCTTCTAATGTATTATTAAAACACAACTCAATAAATCATAATGATATTTTTCAAGAAGTTATTTAAATATTTAGTTCATAGTACCAATTTTACTTGATCAAGCATTTATTACATGCTAAATCAATTAGTGCACATATTTTTCTTTTTTAATTCATAAAAAATTTACATACAAGGGTGCTACCTACAATCCTCTTTATGATCAAAATCAACTAAAATTTAATTTATTTTTATTTTTTCATTGTTTAATACCTTAAAAAAACAATACATTCATATCCGATAGCGGTGAATCACTGTTATAAAACATTTCAATGACAATGTGAGTTCAACTATTGGCACCCCGAGACTTAACAATTTCATAGTAAAAATAAACCATTATCTAGTACGTATAAGCCATTGAAGTAACTAGAACAATAATTTTTGAGAAAATAAATTTTATTTTCTAAAAAGTACTTTTAAACAATATATATCACATTAAGATAGAAAAGTGGCCATATATGGAAATTAAAATTAGACACTTAGGTATAATTCAAAATATTTTATTATCGATCTAAACATGCATAAATAAACTTAAAATTTAATGTAAACTTAATAAGCATGTTTTTTATTTCATTTATGGTAATATGCCAAAAGAAACAAACTCGTCGTTGTTCGATAACTTTTTATATGTTATGTTTCAGAATATTGCAATAAAAATACCGAAGAAGATTAATATTAATAATTATCAACAGACTGATGACACAGAATAAAAATTTAAGTTATATATACAATCGATACTTGGTTTTCATAGTTCTCTATCCAAAACCCAAATTTTGAAGAAAAGCAGCTATTTGAAGTAAAACATACTTTAATATGACAATATATGTGGCTAATGAAAAATATAAAGATTCAAACACATGTTATAAAAAACATGGAATTAAATCAAAGATGAATTTTCGATATGGCCTTATGAGTAAAATCAGAAAGAAAAATTTTTTATTTAAAATGAGATATAAACATCAACAAGTAGTTTGGATAAACGTGAGGAAAGAGAAGAAGAATATAAAAATCAACAGCTAAAATTTAACAAATTGTTTTATTTTGAAGAAAATCTAATAATTGCGTAGGTGTTTTTTAAATTTTTAATTAGCTCAGTTCGGACCACGTCGTGCCTCAGTGCGTAAGTATTGGGGGGGGGGTTCAATCAAACCTCGGTATTTAAGCATTCGAAAGTGCATTTGGTTCCGTTAAGCAGTAACGTTAGGATACACAGGTTTTGCAGTTCTCTCTAGCACAAACAGTATATTTTAAGAAAAGACATTAAACAAAAATATAAAATAAAATAAAAAACTATTTAATAATAAGAAAAAAAAGACAAAAAACAGTAAAAAATTAAATTATTTAATGTTATAAAACAAACCAATACAATATTTTTCAAGGCGATACGTTTATTATTTTAACCTTTGTTATGGTATTAGCTTTTTAATTAAAAAATAATCGAAAAATCACTAGGTATTTCTTTATACTTACTCTCCTCACTGTTGTCTTCTTACATTATATATTTCAAGTCAAGTGGTAGACCTATATAAAAAATTTAAATTAAATTAAAATTTTCATACATAGGTTTAAAGTAAATTCAATAATGTATATTATCACTATAGAAACTATTAAAGCTTATTTATTTAAATACTATATTCAAAAAAAATAACATAAAATCTAGTAAATAGAAATTTTAGAGTAAAAACCCTTGCCAAAAAAAAACCAAACGGGCTTATTCGTTTTTGAATGGATAATAAAAACGATTCCCGAGATAAAAAGTACACGACTCTGAAATTGACATCAAACAAGATGACTCAAAATTAGTATTATCTAATTATCGATACGCCAAAATTTCCACCCACCACGTTCAAATTTACAGTTATATCTATATAGTATATATATAGGGTGTTCAGTAAGTCATACTTGATCATAATCACTAAAGCGCTTCTATCCCAACTACTTGTGATAAAAAAAGTTCAATAATAAAGAAATAATCTAGTGTTACAGTACGTATTAACACGCTTTTATTAGTTTCACGTGTATGTTGTTTGTTGTTTGTTGTTNTTTTTTACATTTACATAGGACTTGTAATATTAGGTAGCTGTAAACAATCATATTTTTGGTAGACAAACTCAAAAATATAAATTAAACATTAATAGTCAAATTTGAACTTCATTCAATTTTATATTTAAGTAATGAACTGAAATCAAATTTAAAATAAAAACGTACTTTTACCCCATTAATGAGATAAAAGCACAATTATTTATAAGTAAGTTTTAACGAACAAAATAAAAAATAATTGATAAGGTTTAACCACCAGGTTTTTTTACTCGAAATAATAATACAATGAAAAAGTTTATTGAAATTAGCAAATTTTCAATTCAATTTAATACAATAAAAAAAAAAAAAAAAACCCAGCACAGGGGGGTCGTGGCACAATTGTGACGTGGTATAGTTGGATCAAGTATAATGATATCTGACAGTGATTAAAATCACTATCAAAAATAAACGCTTCGATGCAAATCTTTAGATAGTGTTTAATTTTAAAAAAATTGGTGTTTTATTCCAAAAGCTACTTGATNGCAGAAAAAAGGTGAAATTTACAAAAAAAATATACCAAATAATAGGTAAAGACATCAAGCATCTATATAAAAAAAAATTATATTCATATGTTCATTTTTGAAAAAGTTACGGCACATTTTAGTAAAAAAAATTGAAAAAATTTCGAAAATTAGCGATTTTTAAATTTGTAATTTTTTTGGAGGTTTCCCCCATTTACGGGGAACGAGGGAAATTTTTTCAATTTTTAAGGGTAATGTCTTCGACTAGATACGATTTGTGATCTTTTGACGTATCGTTGAAAGAAATCGGTTCGGTGATAGCTGAGAAAAAGTAGTAACAGAAAAAAAAAAAAAAACACATCATAGTAAAACCAATACCTTCTCAGCTTCGCATCGAAGCTAAAAATACAGTTACAAAAATATTGTAATAAAAATTATTAGATTAATTATTTAAATTCAATAAAATAATGTAAAAGTGTTATTTATTTTCTAATAAGTATAAAATATATTCTTTTAGAGCTATATTGTATTTTTACCCCAATATTTTTTCTTATATATACCCTTCATTCTACTATGACTAGATTACGTGCGAAAATAAAACTGTCATTATTCAATATTTACTCATAAAAATATTCTAATAATAAACTAACTCAAATAAATTGTTTAATAAACATAAGATAGTATTTCAACTTTGAAACATACATGTATTTAAAATATCAGTTAAAAACTAAAAAACATAGAAAATATTTAACACAAAAATAATCACTAGGCAATAATATAAGGGATATAAGAAAGTATTTTTTTGACTTTTTAACATTTTATATCTATTTAAAAAATATTATATAAATGTTACTTAAATTCAAACTAAAAATCAAAAGTTCACCTTTATTCTTTTTATTTTTTAAATATTTTCTCGTAAACGTCATTTTTCAAAATGCACTACCGCTCAACTCTTTAATGAAATCTGATGAAGGCAAGAGTACCCAAACTATTTAAAGGTATATAACTACTACAAAATACATTGGTATACACCTTGACCAAAAACTTAACAGGCCACATCATATAAACTCTACTAAAATCAAACTCTTTATAACCAAGCGTTTTCTACACTGTAATCAAAACTTTCACTTCATACAAAATGCTACTTAAACAACTATGGACATATGGAATTCAAATGAGGCGTTCAAATTTCCAAAAAAAAAAAAACGATCTTAAAATTCAGACTATACAAAATAATCACAAATGCAACACATTACGTTTCAAACTATTCCTTACATTCAGACTTACAACTAAAGACAGTATTGCTATTTCCTAAAGAACATTACACTCGATACCACCATTTCCTTCTTAACCATTCTAATTCTTTAGTAAAGGATCTCACTATACCCATAATACCTACCTGGCAATCCTTCTAAAAGACTAAGAAGGTAGTAGTGCAAAGATCTTCTTATTCCACAATAATTAATAAAATTAAAAAAAAAAAATTCGAACTACTCAATAATATCACTTTAAAAAGAGTATTGTCAGAAGGCTGCTTCTCTTCTCAAAATAATCATGTCAAAAAATCAGTATTATTTTTTATGCTTATTGTACTAATTTTATAGATTGTATAAATCAAATAAAAATAAAAATATTTTGGAAGTATTTACTTACTGAGAGAAAACAAAATAAAAACAAGTAGTTAAAAAAATACTTTGGATAAATATATATAATAAACTTATAAAAAAATTATCTAATTAAGAAAAGGAGAAGTAGGGCCGAAAAAAGTCTAGTAATAAAAATAATAACACCCACTTCACTACTAGTCATTGTCAATAATTTCTGGAAAACAGGTTCAACAGTTGTTATGGATCAGTTAGTTTTTTAACTACGTCATTTTCTATTTTATAAGATAGTTAAATATGTTGCCATTAAAAAAAAAGGTTGGCTCCTCTATAAGACATATAGATTAACATAAAAATTTTTTCAGAACAGATGAATAGATTCTATATAATATATATTATAACTAAACATTTCTGAAATAACAAATGTCAGTTTTTTAATCGATCAGTCTATATACAGCGATCTCTTGTGTGGAAATTCATTATGAAAATAACACTAACTGATACAACTAGATAGCGTAATATCTATTACACTTCCTGAAAGAATATACAAAACGTATTTTCTTGTAAACATTATTTTTATTATTATACAGTATTACATAATATTATTAGAATTTTTATGATAATATTTAATTAAATTACCTTTTATAATTTCCAGATCACTACAAAATAATAGATTACGAGAACCATCATTTTTAAGTTAAAATTATATTTGCTGAGAATTGAGGCAAATTACAAATGTACAACTTATGTAATTAAAAAAAAAAATGTTTTTTAATGTAAATAAAAATAAAATTTTCTTTGTGTTAAAAAATGAATGATTATAATTGATAACTATATTTTATTTTAAATAAAAAATAACAATTACAAATGAATAATTTGAACTATAATTCTTAATTAATATACACCACTACAAATATTTCTAACATGTGCACATACACACAGATCATGTATTATTAGCATAAACTCGATGCTTAAGACGACTTCATCTATAATAATTACCTTAAATAATTTTGTTAACATTTTTTACTTGCTTTAAAAACTACTAAAAATTTAAGAATTTCTATTCATACCATTAGTATATGAGTATAATAAGAGTGTTAATATAATTTTTATGTTTATCATTAAAATAACCCAAAAGTTTTTTTTTTTTAATGTCTAATTTCATTTAAAAATGTTCAACAAATATTTGAAAATTATACTTTGGTACAAAAAGGGCATTTTCAATTTTTTTTTTTATATTTTAAAATTGCTATGTTTTTTTTTTAATTAAGAAAGGTTATAAAAAACCAACCACACATAAAAAAAACTTTTTCTACTGAATTTTTGAAAATATTGCAGGTTGATCGACAAATTTTAATCTGTATCAAATTAAAGTTTTTGATATGTACAACGTAATTAAAAATAAAAACTTAAAAAATAGTGAACAAATAAATTATAAATTTTGAGCATTTCTCAACAATGAAATATTGTTTCCACATTTATCACAAATTACTGAACTTTAACATACAGTAACTGTTCGGAAAAAACAATTAAAAAAATTCTTATTATTAAATTAAGGGATACCTAATCTAGATATAACCTTAAAAGGTTATACCTGTCGTTGCTGGAAGTTATAAGTCTAACAGGCTTAAAAGTAATAATAATAAGTACATCTATTTGATATACTATCAAAAGTATACTAAAAATATCAATCATAATTATGATTGATATTTAATTAATTATAATTAATTAAAATTCATAATGGCACAACAAAAAATTTTATAATGGAGGGCGTAATAAAATTTTTTACTATATTCCATATTTTGGACGTTTTTTTTTTTTGATCATCACTTCATTTTTAAATGAATATTGCCAACTATAGAAGGGACCATAGTCCGCTTCCATTCAAGGGGACTAAAGCTATCCAAGGTTACATAAATGCAAAGCATAATATGCTTTATAATCATTTATGATTGATATTTTAAGTATGTGCTAAGATATTAGGTTAGCACCAATTTTTAAATAGGTGATGCATTTCTACTGCTTTTCTTTATACGAGTTAACCTTTGTTTTTAAAATTTTATATATTAAGTGTTCCGTAAGTAAGGGAAACGAGNTAAATTTTATATATTAAGTGTTCCCTTAAGTAAGGGAAACGAGTCGGTTGTTACAAACAATTAAAACAATAGAAACTCGTTTCGCTACTTACTGAACACTCTGTATCATAAAATAGTTAACTTAGTGAAATTCGTCTATTTCTCATTTTAATTTAATAAACTGTTTTAAAATATTTACAGGACTAAATAATTTATAATTTCTAAACAATTCATTTTAGTCCTACACTAGTTTTGAATGACTTTTTTAAACATTCAAAACTCATTCAAAACGACTTAAAAGTTTGTAAGACGACTTTTCAGTACATTTACTGAATTTACAAAATAAAATAGTAGAACATCAAGCAATCTCAAATAAGTTACTAACTTAATACAATTTAACAAGTCGACTCGTTTTCCTCATTAAGAAGATTAATTATATAACTTACAATTATATTAACTATTAAAATCATGAACAGATTTTGGTATTAATGAAAATTGTTAATAACTTGATAATAATTGTTATCCAATATACATTTGTTTTAAGCAACCAATAATCTATATGATTTATTTTATGTATACGAAATAACCCCAACCAAATATATTAGACTATATATATTAGTAATAAATATATTACTTTACCATAATGTTAGACTATAACAATTAGAAAACTTAAATACATTTACAATTTGCACTGTATTGATAACTCAAATAAAATATCCTATTAATTAACTTAATGAAATATAATATTAGATGGAGTAACTGTGGACTAAGAGTTAACAGAAAATTGTATCGTGTCTATGACAACGATATAAACAAAGCTCGAAAAAAAACATTTTTATACGAATTAATAATCGTTTAATCTTCTGCAAGTCTGTATAAAAACTCCTTTAGCTAAAATATAAAATTTTTGCAGGTCTAAAATTTAATATATTTATATACTTGACGATAGGCGATATAAAAACTAATATAATTTAAGATATACGAGGTTTATAAAGTTAAAAATGAAAAATTCTTTAAAAACTATAATGTACATAATACATATATATATATATATATACAATGTATATATTATAATATAATATTTATTATATGTATAAAACATAAAAAATGTATATATTTAGTTCGGCTGAAATACTCACAAAAATTGAACAATTTTAATCATAATCCGTTTTCCATTAGCAAAAGTGGAGACATAGGAATGGCGAATTCACCAGACCCGTTGGCTTTCAACACACATAAGCCCACAGTCAGTGGTACTAGCTACACATTTTTTAATCATCGACGCCAATTGACAAATCGTGATTTTTATAGGCAAATTTAAAACCACTGACGCCGAGATGATGAAAAGAAAACTTTAAGTAATCTACAATTTCTAAACTACTTACTGAAAATATTGGTAGTTAATTGCGACACTTACTAAGCACAACGATGTACCTCCTTGCAAATAAAATTAATTTTTTTAAAATAGGTATGTGCCACCGTGAATTAAATGTACATAAAAAAACTTCTATTAAACTAAACAAATTAAATAAAACCGATAGTTAATGTTTTCAAAAACACAAAAAATATATGACGTTCAACGACAATGAGAAAATTAACGGGCACAACACGCAAAGGGAAAGTCTTAAAGCGAATAAGTAGATCATTTATCATATGCGACTACACCGAGCAGTGAAAACAAAGGACGCGATAACGAACAAGTTTAATCGTGTCGCATCGACAACAACGATGGCGTTGATTTTTCTGTTTTACACATAAAATTTCTTGAAGGTCATAGCTGTGGTAGGTACGTTGTAAGGGCCGTGCACTTGTATGTTGCCGTCGCGTACATGGCGAGACGATAAGGCAATTGGTATTATACTGACTATTTTTAGAAAAATTCCCAACATTAACAATTTATTTTTGGTGTATTACCTAACAAAAACCATTAAATTACTTTGAAGGCCATGTTGTTTTCATGAATATTATGCTCTACTCGGTAGAAATAATTCCTACAAATGATCAGGGTATTTGAAATTTGAATATTTCATGTTAGTATATTAGTTAAATAGAACTTAGAAACACTTAAGGATTAAGCAAACAAAAATACATCTAGCTACGTTATTACACGTGTAAAGTTTGAAAATGTATAAACTGCAAATATAGAACTTAAAAGACGGTCAAATAATACATGCAAATTACTTAAGATAACGTACCAAAATAAACAATTCCTTACAACATTTGTTTTTATAATAATTGTTAAAACTTAATTAAAGCTAATAAAATATAAGGTATGAATTATAGACGAATCCATAAGGGTAACCCTTATGGATTGTGTGTCAATCTTAAATCTATTGAAAATTAGTCCTACAGTAATTTAGTAAATGGCATAATTTATAGAGATAGTGGGTCAATTATGCGTGACAACTAACTACACTTTAGAAAAATATGATCATTTTTTTTTAATATTAAATACTATTAGCCACAAGTAATCAATTCTTATTATATTTTCATAAATTGGTCCAACTTTTTAAGCATTTAAAATAAAAGTGATTAAAAATTTAATCATTAAATACCAAATGAATAAAATTTTTAAGCCTATAACCATTTTTCATTAATAAAACACAATGGACATTTCAAAAATCTGTACATATAAAAAAAGATAAATGGTTATTCAATTTAGCATGTATTTTTATTAGCTTAGAAATTTTACTGAGCCTTTATTCTTTTGTTAATATATACACACACTGAGTATGTTTTCTAACTCAGTAATCGATTTTTGTTAAGTTCTTAAATACCATTAACATTGTATCACAGCCTTTGCACTTAAAAGTTTTAAGACGTTTGAATTATTAACCAGTTGGAAACTATAAGTAAATTACCAGAATTTTCATATACTTTTTTAATATAAACTTAGAATTTTTAAATATTTTTATAAAATTTTAACAATAGTGACAATAATGCTAGTGATACACATAGGAAATTTTATGAGATAATGAATAAACCAAGTAACATTATTATATTCAATCCACTAACTTAAAAATACAACCGTTAATCAACTAAAAATATTCTTAAAAATTTATCGAATAATTTATGTACATAAGGTGTAGCTACTAAAATAATCTAAAACCATCAGACCAGTGCCTATCAAAGAATCAGAAATTAAGATTAATCAATGATTAAGTCTATTAATTATTACAGACGATTATTGCTACTCTTATACAATACACGTTCAGGGTAAATATGATATTCATGTTTAATCATTTAAAAACAGACATCTCAACTCATCAATAATTAGAAACAAGATTTTTTTTAATTTTTAGGTGTTAAAAGAAAAAAATCATTATTTTACGGTTTTTCTATTTGATATTTAAGCGTTTGGCTTCATAAGTTAGTGGTCACTATTTCTGACATTTAAGAATAATTCAATTTATTCAAAATAATTTTTATTGTTTAAATAACAATAATTATAATAAGTATATATATAACGTAGTTACACAAGAAAAATAATTATTAAGTCAGGACTTACGATTTATTTAAAAAAAAAAAAATTTGGTAATATTTTCATATTAGTTTTTGTAATAAATTAAAAAAATTACTTATAAACTATAAAAATTTAAATTTGTGTAACTAAGCTGAGATTTAAATTTAAATGATATAATTTCATCATTCTTTTAATTTTTTTTATTTACAATATTTTTATAATATAGAAAATTTATATACAAAGAAATAGATTAGTCTTTTATTAACTATTTTTTTACTTATATCACATTAAAAATGATAAATTTCACAAATGATGATAATTATGTATTTACTTAAATACTGAATTGTTAATAAAAAATTACGAAAACTACTTTTTTTTTAGTTAAGAACAAAATTAAGTTAAAATTTTGTGAAATGAATTTAATAAAAGTGTAATAATTAAAAACTACATAAGCGTTAAAAGTAAGAATTACTGAGATATAATAAAAAAATTATTTTTTTTAAAAGTTTCAAAAATTAAAGTACCAACTTACAAAAATTGAGATAAATAATTTATCACAATGAAACAATTATTGTTTTAATAACTTTGTTTTGGGGATGTTTGTATAATTATTTGAAGTTAAATCATAGTTTTTTGTTTAACTTGATGTGAAAATATTAGTGTCTATTTGTATGCTGTTTTTAATAAACATCGAATTTGACGAAATTTACTTAATTGTGTAATTATATTAAACAAAGAGTAAAATTTATTGTGTATAAATTTGGAAAGTAAAAACTCATTATTTGAGTCACTAGTTTGCATTAATAAAGTATAATGCATAAGAGATAATAGAAGAAAAATGTCAAACTATTTTCCTAAAAAATGCACATAACTCTTTTTACACCAAGTCATCGACATTTTCATTATTTTTAGAATGAAAACGTTACAACAAGGCGTTTGTACATTTTTAAATATACGAGCGCTATACCGTTTAACCATACGCTTGTTTTTGTTTATGAATTATTTATACTCAAATAGTGTGTGTGTATTTGTTTAGGATGCACGTGATGAACTCTGTTGAAAAGTGACAAGAGTGAACTAGTCTGTTTTTGATAAAGATTTTGAGTAAATCATCCAGAAGTTTTTTGTGCCAGGAAACTCGGGCGTCGTAATAGCCACCTTCATCAGACGCGTTGGTATCCTTGGAATGTTACGGAGAGTCGGCCACTGCTGACGGAGTTTATATTATTGCTTCCATATAACGCAGCTCAACTCCAGTATTATGTTGTGTACGGTTTAGTCATTCCGCTCGATTATCGTCTATTTATAATGAAAGTACTGCCTTGCGCGGGGGTGTGGTGTCTTTGATGACGTCCCTCGATTTTCATGCCCATACCGTAATGACCGGCGTCTAAAATTAACACTACGGTTCCTCGGCGTACATCTAACGCATTAGCGTGCTAATGCTATAGAGAGTCGCCTGTCACAGATGTGTTCCGGCGCACTTTTTGGGTGGGGGGTGGTCTTAAGTTTGCGTTTTTGATGAAAGTGTTATTAATTAGTCGCAGTTTGAAACGAATTAACACTCCGTCAGTCATTATTACAAATATAACTCCGCTGTTTCTTACGTACTGAAAGTTGACCGGATGGCAAAATTGAACCGACGCCAATACGCCACACGGTTTAGAGTTTAGTTTCATTAACACCAAGGACATGACATGTCCACGAAACACATTGTTTTCGTGTTAATTGTACAACAAAACTGCAATATACGGCGTGTTCTGTAAGTAAGGAAACGGGTCAATTATTATAAACAACGAGAACAATAGAAACCTGTTTCCATACTTACTGAACACACTCTGTATGCACACAACTCGTAGAACAATCGTTACACGTTTGTTTCGCACTATGTAGTAGACGAATTATTGTGTAACTCGAGTTTCGTCGTATACATCGCGCAACTTCAAGAGCTAAGACGTATTAACGACAACATCCAGTCGTTTCAATTAGCTCGAGCTTATGCACATAAACCAAAAGTTGGCTCTAAACGCTATAACGGTTTTAATGATTTATGCACTACTCGTATAAGTGCCATATATGTTTGTTCATTGTTTATATATGATAAATAGCACAAAATGATCAGATACATAACTAGATGAAACACAAATATTTCATATGTTTAGAGTTGTCCTTATTTGTCAACTTAAATAGTCTTAAGTACTAAAAGAATATGTCATTTCACTAATTAAAATATTGAAATTAAAATTAAAATCAGTAAAACAATAAATAATAAGAAATAGAGTACAATAATGCAGTGGCGTGCATACGGAGTTTTGTGTTCCAAACCTCCTCCCAAAAAGCCAAACATTTATTTTTAATGTTTCTTGTTGAATTGTAACGCTTTTAAATTTAGATATTCAAATATGATACTTAAATATTATTAAGTGTTATTATTATATAATAACATTGTTACATAATAAATATTAATTTATGCGCGTTTATTGTGAATTGTTCACGCCAGTTCTATACGTAAAAATACTAATTCTCATTAATTTTATCGATTTGGTTATTCTATAGTAAACTCATAAACAAAATTTATAAATATTACCTATTTATAACATGTGATGTATACCCAGAAATGAAGTATAATTTGTCAACGATGAAAACAATATATTATTCTCAACGATATGTAATGTCGTCTAATTATTATTCATATTTTTTGCTATTAATGTTCATGCATGAACATTTACTATTTTCATGTTTAATAGTTATCCGTCAATAATTAAGCTGTTTAACAATTTAGATTTGATATAATAATTATTAATATTATATGTAATTTGATATCGTGAAAAAATGTAGTATTTAAAATTTATAATAATATAATTAATATTAATTTCTTTATAATAAAATTAAAGAAGTGTTTTGTGTAAATTGTAATTGTAAAATGTAATTTTTTTCATCCTTCCTAGAACAAATTTTAATGTACACCACTGCATTAAAGTATTACTTTGGGAACAAGATAAAACGTAAGTAAATAAAATATTTTAAAACAGAACTAAAAAATTCAAACATTTTTAATAAATCATAATTAAATCCTGAAATATAGGCTAATACTTTGTTATAATCTATTCATATTTAACATATTTGTTGTGATTTTGTTAAATAAATCAAACCGTTTTAGTTAATATTTTTCTTTAACTATTTTATATCATATTAATGATTCAATTACAAATCAAATAATTTCATAGTTCTTTGTTCTTTTTAACTTTATTAGAGTTTTATTCTTTGCAAAGTATTAGAGTCCATAGATTATTTTGGAAACATTCTCAAATTGAAAAAAATAAGGAGAACATAACAAAGCAATTACTTATGAAATAAATGAGTAACATTCTGCTATGTAATGTTTTCCCATTTTCCTCTAATCTTACCCTATTCTTAAACTTAAGGCTGGTTTGCAGAGTATTTACTAATCTACAGTTAATAATGTACTTTCGGACTTTCAAAAGTATCAATTACTTCATAGGTGATTTGTTTTATGCACACAATCATTCTTGAGTATTTTCTAATTCTAACTTCTGTCGTCTTTAATACAAGCTATAATTTGTATCATTTAAGAGTTCCTGATCTTTAAAAACTTATTTTGTGATATTAAATTTTTAGCTAATTTTCCAACACTATTTATGATCTAAAATAATAATTGTATTGTATATTATAAATTATTAACTTTTTCAATGTAATTTTTTTATTAAAAAAAATATGTATTTTTTAAATTTAAAAAGAATTTAATCATAAGAAGTTGAATAATTTTTTTGAACACATTAATAGATCTTAATAATATTTAAGTAAACACCGGATATTTTGTGTAAACTTTATGTTTTTAATGGTTACCATAAAATATTCTATAAATATTTTTCAATATTACAAAAGGACAGAGTGAACATTCATTAGATATTTTATTAATTTAACACCAGTGGGCTGGAGCCGGAAACTAAGGGTTTTCTGACCCTTAGTTTCCAGATTTAGTGTAAAAATAAATTAAAGGAAAATATAATCTCTTCATTAGAAATATTACCTGAACATAATTTTAAAGTTAACTTTGGATTTTAACACACTTATGATACCAAACTATAAATGCGAAGTGGCTAAAAAACTTATAGTGAGGCTAGTTTCATCTGATTTATCTTATAACACCTTTTACCATTATACAATACACAATACAGCTAAATCATAATCTAAAAAGAAAGTAATATTTAAGCACAATTTTTGTAAACGGACCAATTTTAATTATAATTTATTTTTATTATTGTACTAGTAATGGTAAGATATTAGAAAATTATTTCTATTTCCTAAAAATAAAAATTATACATTTATGGCTGTTGCGCATAGTTTTAAATGAGCGGTTCCATTTTGCCAGCGTTGTCAACAGTGGTGCTATTTCATCGAATGAAAGGGATTTTACCGACAGTAACCATACAACAGAAGGACGTGACGCACGTCCCTACCAACCGATCGCCATTAATCGCACGTGCAATGAGTCGGGATATTTTAATTTTTTTTGATGCATAAAATAATGTAAATGGCGCGTTTATGATTAAAAAGCGTTTAAAGTTAAAACTTGAAACAGTTTAAGATTTACTATTATTTATAGTTTCGTTTTAGTATAACCGCCGTCGGTATTTGAATTTCGAGTAGAATTTGAATATTTCTAGTAGAAGACAAACAACACAAGGTAATGAAAATGAAATTTAATTAAAATTTATGCGTTTCTTTCAGTTGAATTTATTATAAACGATTTAATATCATAAATCACGAATGAGTAATAGAAATTAATTTAGTACTTTTTGAATTTAAAAGTTTGTTCTTAAGCGCTCAACTATAAACTGTTGTCATGGTTTTGAAATATTCCTTAGTGTTTATACATTATTTAAAAGGGCGATCATAAAATATGAAAGCTCTGTTACCTGTGGTATTTTGCTGTTTGTCAATTAGTTGTTTCTATTCAAATCACAATACATCTTGAAATTATATCAAAAACTATTTTTTCATTGGTGATATTTTGTATGCATGTTTGCAATTTCAACATACCTCTCTTCTATGTATTTATTCTCAAGTATCCAATGAATTTTATGAATGATTGAATTATGATATTATAATAATAATTATATAATGAATATAAAATACAAAAATTAAATAGTCCTTGAAATTGTGAAGTAATGTTTTAACAGCAATGAATTGTAAGAATTTGAGTTAACTGATAAAAAAAAAAGTTCAATTAATTTAATTCGCTGCAGTTCGGTTGTCTTATTTGTTTTACTACAGTTGTGTGACAATAAAAAATAAAATTGTCCTACTGCTTTTAAGGTTTGCATTGTTAGAATTAAACTTAAATATCCTATCATTAAGTTTATTATTACTAATGGAATAATTAGGTATCTTATTATTTATTTTAAAAACTAAATTAAATTCTTTTAACTTTATAAAAAAATGATTATTTGATTTAATATATAAGATGATGAAATCTTTGTCATTAAATTGTCTAGTAATTTTATTTATTGATATTTGTGTATGTATAAATTTATACTTATAAACATTATCACCATAGATTATGTACATTTTATTTTTATAATATTATAAAATGAGTTTTTTAGAAGCACTGTTGCGAAGATAGAGACCATTTCATAGTTATTATGAATTATATGAAAATACATAACCAAGATAGCATTTTGAAACCGTGTTTACAGTTGCATAAAAAAACTGAAAAAGTAATAATTTTCAAAATGGGATAATTTCTACTTTATATAACAAGTTTAACCGAAACGAAAATTTTAAACTGTTGTATAAAATATTCAAATTTCATTTTTAATATTTACAAAAACTTTTTTTAAAAGCTGTTTGAAATTGTAGATACTTTTTTCTTTAATTTTATGAGTTCCAAAAATACATAAAATCGAAAAAAATTTCAATGAATATTAAAGTAGTAAAAATAAGTTTTAAAACATTAAGCTCTTTAACAGTTTATGTTATGTACAATATTATAATAAGTACATGCAAAGATGTTTTCTTTAGACTTCATCTCGGCGTGACCTAGTGTCGATGTATCTTGATAATGTCACATAAGAAAAGATAGATGTTTTCCCTTTATTTCTTCGTGCTTTAAGTATGCACGCGCTGGGTTTTAGGACCTGGTGTCAATGTTGAATGAATAATGTATGGCAGGTAAAGCTTACAGTTTTTCGTCGCTAAAATTGTATGCGAAATAATATAACAAGCTTTAATAGAGATAAAAAGGGGGTATAGATTAGTAGTTGGTGAAAAATATACAACCCTGTTACCTTAACTGGAAAACTTTATTAGATGGAAAAATATACGTGTCAAAAAGGACCTTTAGATAGTTAGTGACCAAATTGCTATTTTGCAGGTTTTTATGACGCCGATGATCTAAAAATGAAATAGTAAGCGTCAAATGATATAGAAGTGGGCATAATAATGTAACATTTTTATATACCATTATTTTTATATATTTCATTATTTATATTCAATGATACAAAGTGAAATAGTAAATTAACAGTAGTGTGACGTAGTTTATCAAAAGTTTTCTCTGGTAGTCTGCACTGTAAATATTTTTAATTATTGATTAATAATATACATTTTAATGATGAAATTTTACTGTATGAGTTATAACTGACATAATAATCATTATTTTTTACTAAAAATTTAAAGTTACGTATGAAATTTTGTTTTCAAATTACAGTGAAATTAAATTTACGTGAAAGTAGTTATTAATGTTGACTATCATTAATTTTCTTTTCCTTTTTAGATTGTTGATTAAAATATAAATATTTACTCAATAACGTTTATGGTTTATTTAATAATTTTTTTTTCAAATCACAACATCCAAATAACAAAATAACTTATGTATATATATATATATATATTTATTACAATATATTTTTCTTTACATATCTCTAATTGGAAAATATAAAATGATTATTTCATGTTTCACGACAATTGTAGTGTGTAATGTGTGTATGTGTTTAGTACTAAGCTATAAATATTTAACCTTGAATTCTTAATGTTTATGTCTTCTCAATAGTGCCTTTCTTAAATTTTTTCCAAACTTTAGATGCACGACTCTTATATAGTCATCTTATTTGTGTTATTTACACAACCAATAATTCTTGATTTAATTAAATTTTGTTATACAGAAAAACAAAACTTGCATAACATATTCTTACGAGATTCGATATATCATTATGGTGACGAGGTACTCATGCATGTACAACCTGTCGCATCTTTATCTACAATTAATTTTTTTTTTAATATTGATAGTACTGATAAGTGCTAACGTCGTGAAAAAGAACCGGTGGGTTACATTCAATAGATAATATAAATGTTAGTGGACGTATTTTGTGTTAACAAAATTTAAGGTCGTGTATACATTATCAATGTATTAATTACAATTAACAGAGTGCCACAGCATTCACTGACAACATAAATAACTTTCTGATTTAGTTAATATTTTTTACTGATTCTTTTTTAAATAACAGTTATACATTAGGTATAAATTATATCTCAATAATTTATATTATTACATTTTATTAAAAATATTAATTATTTTTGAATTTTAAATAAAATTAAAAAAAAAAAATTCAAGATAGATATTTTGTAGAGTATATTTAAAAAAAAATTTAGTAAAAATATATCTTATTAATATTCAGTAGTAAATAGTCTGTATCATTTGAATGTTTGTGAAAATTAGAATTTTCATGGGTTATTTTACGGTATTAAACATTGAAATGCGTGTTGAGACAAGAACAGAAGAAAAGTAAGATAAGTAGTTTTATCTCTTTATAGATAAAACCACTCATTAAATAATAGGTATTGATCGTGTTTTTATTTGAACTCTAGTCGGCCATTGGAATGTTAATAATTTTTATGGAAAAATTTGTATTCATATCATATTTAGTATGAAAAGAATATGTTTACTTCTGTCTCTTTTTATAAAACATAGCCAGAGTTCGTACCGTAGAATAAATACAGAAAAATTCAAATTTTACAAAATTTTAAATGTTACAGAAAATTAATTACCAAACATTAATGAGAAATTTTTTTCACCAAATTATTTTTTTAAATCTATTCTGAAAAATGGCTATTTTGACATTTTTTTTACATTTTAACATTAACAAAAGTAAACTGGATCAAAAGTTATTTAAGTTGTCAGTGAATGCTAGGCAACCTGTATAGTAAAAATAATAAAATCTTGTACAGTACTAGTTACGCTGTAGTTTTAATCTTAATTGCCCAACTATAAAATTTGGTTTGTTTAGAGGCAATGTTTTTTAAGACTTAATAAAACATTTTACATTAAAGTGGGCGAAATCTTATTTTAAGTAGTGTTATTTTTGAATATCTCCTACTTTTCTAACCTAATTTACATGTTTGTGAATTTCAGCCAAAAAGAAAGAATAAGTGAAAATTGAGGTTAATAGCAAACTCGTGTGTTATATCTACGACTATTTTTTTGAACTCTTTAAAATAATTATTATGAACTTTAATTTAAGTTTACTACTAAAAATCAACTAAATAACAAAAATTATAATTATGTTTGTTACATAGGGTTCATATTATAAAATATTATATTGTACAAATAATCTCAAATAAATATATAACCTATAAATTATTCATTGTTTACGTTTTAAATAACATAATGTATAGTGGTTCTTTTATTATGACCACTTCTCATTTAATCGAAAAATAAAAATAATGTTTAATTTTTTATTTTGTTCTTTCTAAGTTACATATTGTTTGGATTTTTCAATTATGATGCATTTTTTATACTAATCACTTATACCCTTTAAGGTCAACTTAATTTTTTCAAAATAACGCACATAATTAATTAGTTTACGAATTTTATAATCATTATCAAATTAATTAATTATTATTAATAATAATTTTCTTAATAATATCATATAATTGAGAAAATGAATTTTTGATAACAATTTTTGAGCCAATATTTTAGAAATTATTAACAATTTAATGTAATAGCTGGTGGTGCTAGAGATCACTAGGCATTTCTCAATAAGACTTCACCTCCCACTAAGGTATAAAAACATTAATAACTTGAAAAATTGGTCCAAAAGTTGTTATCACTCTCTATTATTGATAATGTTAATTAAAATATTATATAATAATAATATAATATTAATATAAATATATTAAAATATATATAAATGTATAATAAGGGTCTTATTAAGAGTATAATAATATTAGGAAAAAGTTGTAATATATGTTAATAAAAGGATCGATTTATACATATATATAATGTAAGTATATGATATCATGTATAATATAATATTATACAATATATTTTTCTCAAGGTTTTATTTTAATAATAGTAATAGTTTTACAACTTATTTTTAATTTTAAATGAATGTATTTAAGGCCCATGAAAACTTGGCATTATGTATTGTTGCATTTAGTTATGTATGAGGCTGATGATTATAAAACTTTTAATAATTTCCAAATTATATGAGGCTTAAAACATTTACAAGTTTAATTTTGGATTTGAAAAATATTTTTAGCACTTTTTTTGACTTTCACACTACTAAAAAATGTTAATATACATCTATAAATTGACTGCGAGTTTAGACAAATAATTTTCTCTCTTTTTACACTAGTATTATGCGTTACTACTCACGTTTCCATTGACATTGATATATTTATTTTAAT